CAGGGAGAGGGAGAAGGAAGGACTCTTACAGGTTGAAATAATCCCAAAGTAGATAAACCCTGGCTACAGTGCTGGTAGAGGTCATCACGTTGAGGGGCCAATAACCTCTGAGGTAGGCACACCCTTCTCCCCAGCAATGGCCAGTTTGCACTTAAAATGCAGCGGTGGTGATGGTGAGCACAACAGTGGAAATGTTTTTACAGAATCACTTAGAAGTCCACCGCCCCATGCAACCATTTCCATACTTTTATATTCCATTTTGGCCTTCAACCACATGCTTACAAATTGTTCCGTAATTGTAAACCGTGATGTTCAGATTTCATACTTAATGCATATTCCTTTTCCTCTGTTGGTTTATTTTCTGGAGGCAAGTTCTTAGTCATGACTTTATTGGATTAAGGGTATGACTTTTTGTTTTGTTTTGTTTTGAGTATCTGTAACCATATTGCTTACCCAAGGGTAGTCACAGTTGACTCTGCTGCCAGCAACGAGGTATGGACTTGCCACCCTCACTATGGGCTTGCGGGCAGTAGTGGGGTGATTTTGTTAAACAGTGTAGCATGAAATAGTATCTCTGGATTGTCTTTAGGTTTCCCGTCCAGTGATGTTGGACGTTTTGCCATCTGTTAGTTATATTGTCCTTCCATTTCACGTAATGTCCATATCCTTTGTCCTTGCAACACTGGAGTCTTTTTAAGTATGGATTTTTATGTATTGTAGATTTTTACCCTTTGTCATAACTGCGGCAGCTGCTGAAAACATCATTTGTATTTCTTTTTATGTTAATGTTACTTTTAATTATATGGGACTTTGAGGGGCGCCTGGGTGGCTCAGTTGGTTAAGCGACTGCCTTCGGCTCAGGTCATGATCCTGGAGTCCCGGGATCGAGTCCCATATCGGGCTCCCTGCTCGGCAGGGAGTCTGCTTCTCCCTCTGACCCTCTTCCCTCTCGTGCTCTCTATCTCTCATTCTCTCTCTCTCAAATAAATAAATAAAATCTTTAAAAAAAAATTATATGGGACTTTGAAAACTATTTATCTGTTTCATATTGATATTTTTATACTTTGTATTCTTTCCTGTTGCGTCAAAGAAGGGGATGTCCTGAAATGCTCTGTTGTGCTGTGTGTGTGTGCTTGCAACCTTAAATATTTAGATTTATTTTGGCTTATTAGTTAGCTCTCAGACTGCTAGCCAGCTCTCTCAACACTATGACATGATTCTAACCTTCCCCCTTGTTTTGAGAAGTTGCTGTTTTGACAAACAACATGTCTATTTGCCATGTAAATGCTTTCTTCTGTTTTAATAAGTTCTGGAACTGAGACAGTTTCAGGACTTAGAATTAAATTTTTCTGATGATTGTTTTCTATGTATTTCCACAGAATACGAAAGCTACAGAATAGCTTTTGGAGATCCTTCTCTGTTGCAATGTTAATTAGTATTTGTGAAAAGTTTAGCCATCTTTTAGGATATTTTGTTATTTTGTTAAAATAAGATTCTTTGTGTATATTTTAAAGTAGATGGTCTTGATTGGTTTTTTTTGTTTGCTTTTTTAAAGATTTTACTTTTAAGTAATTTCTACACCCAACGTGGGGCTCAAACCTACAGCCCTAAGATCCAAAGTTGCCTGCTCTACCTACTGAGCCAGCAGGTGCCCCTAAATGGCCGTGGTTTTCGTTGAATTCCCTAGTTGGTGGAGAGCTAAGTTCTGCCTTCCTCTGATGTGACTGGGTTGAGCAAATAAGGTGAGCCCTCAGGGAGCACAGTCACTTCGGAGTTGTTTCGGCGGAATGTTGAGTCAGATCTGGGTTCTAGTCAGCACCGGTACGTTTGTCCACTTCTTGGGGTTCTTTGTTGGTGTGGGTGACTCTCAGGTTGGCAGCTCAGGTGTACTCATCAGTCCTTTTTCCTTCACTGAGGCAGTGAGGCCGCTGAGCCAGACCTTGGGAGCTCAGCGCTGGCTTTGTTTGCCTCCAAATGGCCCCCCTCCTCCCCCTGCCGAGGACCTTGTGTTGGAGGGTGTGGCTTAGGCTGGGGTCCAAACAAACCTTCCCCTTACCTCCTTACCTCACCTCCTCTAGTTTATACCCTGGGTTGCGCCCCTGTGGAGACGGGCTCTTTCGGTGACACTGAAGTTCAGGATCTGCTTCTCCCGCCTCTGGCCAGCAGGATAGAGAGCCATGCGAGGGTGAGAGACAGCTTTTCCTCCCTGCTCCTCAGGTCCACGGGAAGGGGCGGGCGGGGAAGTGGACTAGCTCTCCCCACCCCGTGGTAAGTTGAGTGCCTTATCTTCCCATGGGGAGGAATAAACAAGTGGGTGAAGAAAGACTAAACCGTTTTCCCTCAACAGTTTCCTCATTTGTGAATGGGATGGGAAAATGGTGTCATTGGGACATCGCCACCCCTAGGCCGCAGAGGGTTATCTTGGTTCAACAGAAATGGTGTGATGCCCCGTGTGAATGCTTTGGGTTGTGCATGGCAGGTGTATAGGGGACACGTCTGAGTGTGGTACACTGTGTGGTGGATGCTTAGGGTGTTTCTGGTCCTTCCTTGGTGTGGACCTGTCTAGTGTCGTTCCAAATGTCTGAGTTTCCAGGAAGTAAGGGAGTGTATGTCTTGGTTGTTGAGATTCTCTGGGTCTGGGTTTGGACCCTGATGTCTGTGAAAGCAGTTTTATCTGGGTGGTTGTGTGTCTTTGTGGGGTGAGGTCTTTGGGGCCACATGAAAGAGGGTGAAACCTAAGGTGAGGGAGGCCAGGTGCCCTGCGGAGAATTCCCCCCTCCAGAGCCTGCATGCCCATGGAGTTTCCTGTGCTCTTTCTGTGTTCTCCATGGTTAACCAGTCAGAGCTGAAGAACAGGGATCTCCAGGTTGAGAGTCCCCACATCACCTCAGGGTAATCATTTCCCAAAGGCCCCAAGCAGGGGGCAGGGATGAGGTTGCCAGTACTCTGGAAAACAGAAAGACGTGCTAATTAGCTGGTTTCTCTGTGGAGGAAGAAGGGAGTCTGGCTTTGTTTACTGCTTCAAAGCTTTTGAGGGAGAGCTTTACCATGGTTAGGTTAAATGATGCCCAAGGAGTACTCTCTAGGACTCCTGAACTTTGGGGTACTGTGCCTGAGCTGCCTTCCCCAGTCGCTGGGGTCCCGTTCCACGGAGGGTACGGCCATCCACCTTCCAGACTTCTCTAGGAACCATGAAGAAGAGGAGGCTGTATTTGACAATTCTAAGAAGCAGGGTTGTCTCGTCCATAAAAAGGAATAGGTTTTCTACCATTTAGATTAGTGTCCTGCCTTCTAGGGCATTTCTGGCCAAGTTGACTGTTCTCTGTGATAAACTTGCCTGAGCTTTAGGTTAAAAAAAGTTTATTTTTCTATATGCATGAAGCCAGTCATCTGTAGTTGGAGAAAACCCCAGTGCTTTGGGGTTTTTGTCATGTGTGCAACACAAATGGGTGAATGTTGGTTCCCTTTAGTTAGTTGCCTACCACGAGCCATCCCGACCCTAGCCCTGGTCTGCGTGCTGGGCTGCAGGTAACAGGGTCCTTCTGCCTTTTCAGGAACCCCAGAGGGACTGCAGGCCTTGGTGCCCAGGCTAATATCTGGTACATTAGGCATGTCAGAATCACTGGGGAGTTTGTCACAAATGCAGGTTCTGGGCCTCACCCCACACCTACTTCTCAGAACCTGCAGTGGGGAGAGGCCTGAGGTCTGTATTTGTAATGAGTCGTTTGATGCTGCCAGCTGGGTCCCTTAGCTCCAGGGATGCTAGGGATCAGTTTTAGTTGAGGAGGCTGAGGCCTGAAGGAAGGAGCTCGGCTCTCTGCAGCCAGCCGGTGTGGCCCAGGCTGTGTTCAGGCCTCCTGTGTGCCCTGTGCCCAGGGGTGTCCCTTGGTACCCGGGATTGCAGTCATACTCCCTCCTTGGAGGGGACTTCTGTGGAAGTGCTGTGCTGAGGGTGGGGCTGGGGGCTGCTGGGTCGCAGTCCCTTTCCTGGCTGGTTTTTGAGGCCAGACGGGCCAGACTCTCGCATCCCTGTCAGAGGGAGGAGGTGAGCAAACGGAGGCGTCCAGACTGCTGTGCCGGTTGATGCTGCCCCGTGACCAGGAGGTAGAGTGGGCACAGCACCCATTTCCAGAGTGATGTGGTTTGCATGTCCCTGCTTGGCATCACTTCTCAGAACATTACAAGCCCGTGGCCAGGCCACTGAGGCCGCTCCCAGGAAGGGATTTTGCAGTAGTCACTCCTTGCGGCAGCAGCTGGTTTCTTCCTGGCAGTTGTGGGCGGGTTGTCTCCTCACTGCCTGAGTGGCCTTGTCTGTTTTGCCTCGGGCCCTGTTACGATTTGCCCTTATCCTTGCCCAGGAGGTGGGAGGGGAACAGGGGGCTGAGGGCGAGCATTCCCCTGTGAGCCCTAGGTCCTGCCCGCCCCCCCATTAAGGCCCCCACCTCCTTCCCCACCACTGAGCCACGGCTTTGGCAGCAAGGGGTGGTGGAGGAGTTAAGGGCCCACCTGGATTGCTTTCGGGTTCCAAAAGGAAAGTAATGGGGACACCTGGTGGCTTGGTCGGTTAAGCATCTGCCTTGGGCTCAGGTCATGATCTCAAGGTCCTGGCATCGAGCCCCACGTCGGGCTCTCTGCTCCGCGGGGAGTCAGCTTCTCCCTCTCCCTCTGCCCCTCCCCCTGCTCATTCTTTCTCTCTCTCTCACAAATAAATAAATAAAATGGTTAAAAAAATAAATAAAAATTGGCATCCTCCATTCTTTCAAAGATTCTCTTCTTTTTTTGGCTCTCTTTGGAGAGTTGACTTAACATGATTTTCGCCCAGTCCGTAGCTGGCACTGATAAGAAAGCAATATCTGGACTTGTGCAGGAACACGGAAACGATTTGGAGACTTCTGGAGTCTGTGTATGAACCTCACCTTTGCTCTTTCTGGGGGAGCAGGTTTGGGGGAGATGTTTTGCAACTGAACCTGTCATCTCATCACTCCCATGTCTGTCCACAGATCCTGCTTCTCAGAAGATGCACTATTATAGATACTCTAACGCCGAGGTCAGCTGCTGGTACAAGTACCTCCTTTTCAGCTACAACATTGTCTTCTGGGTGAGTCACCAAGAGCAGCCTCGGGTCCCTCGCCTCGTCCTTATTCAGTAGATCATGATTGTTCACCTACTGCTGATTGGCCAGGGCCCCCGCGTGGCTTAGGAGGAGAAGGTGGGCGGGGCTAAGAGCCCAGCTCGGGCAGAACCAGCAACAAGTTAATTATAAAACAGGCTGTTAACAGTACTGTGACAGGGATGGCCAGGGTGATCAAAAACCAGGTTAATGGGCCCCTATGCCAGCCTTGGAGGTTCAGGAACGCTCGGAGTTCTGGCCCACGTGCAGGTCTGTTTTCCCCCTTCCCTGCCCTGGGGATGCTACCAACGAGACATCGGCAGCGGGGCACTTTGTGCCCTCTTGACTCTGGGCCAGGCCCTGCTCTGGGAGGTAGGAGTGGACAAGGGTGGTAGAGCCCTGTTTCTTTGGTGCTTGTGTTTAACCTGTAATGGCATTAGCCTCCTGAGCAGCAGAGCAGGGAGGGGGAAGCTCCTTGGCTAGGGAGGTTGGGGAAAGGCATTCCAAGGAGTTGCCTTAAGGACTGAGACCAGAGTACCCGTGAAGAAGCAGCCAGTGGGCGTCTGGGAAGAAAGCTGCAGGCTGGAAGAGCAGCATTTGCAAAGGCCCTGAGGTAGGAATGCACTTGGCATGTGCAAGGGACAATGAGAAGCATGTAGCTGGAGCTCTGTGAGTACAGGGGGAAGGGACACAAGCGAGGACAGAGAAATGAAGGAACCAGGTCATGTAGGACCTTGCAATGCTCAGTAAGTAGGTGGAATTATTTTCTGCCTCTTTTAGTAACTGTTGGTAGGTTACAAGTTGGATCTGATTTTGGAATGATTCTGCCGAGTGAAGGGATGGGTGGTGGTACCATGTTCTGAGAGAGAATTTTGGGACAGACGTGTTCAAATGGTCTCTTGGCCACATGGAGGTTTCCGTTTCCTATGTCTGTGACCATCTTGGAGATGAAAGGGGGTGCGGCTCGATGCGATCATGGAGGGTGTGTGAGAAGCGGAGAGGTGTGACTGTGGAGTCTGGGGATACTAGAGGTGACCTTACACAGCAAAGTCCATTCCAGAGTTGGCTGTGAGTGGGTGGGCTGAGGGGAGGCTAGGAGACTCTGAGGCCTTCCGCGTAGAGAGGACAGTCAGCTGTGCCACAGGGGGGTGACATAGGATGAAGACAGAAAATGGGCATTGGCTTTGACGAGGTGGAGGTTGTTGGTGACCCTGACCAGAGCTGCTGTGTGCTCTGGGGCCGGATGGAAACCCACCTGGGGCTGGCTGAGGAGCCAGCGGGATGTGAGGCGGTGGAGACCGTGACTCAGCGCGGTTCTTTCAAGGACTCTCGCCTTGAAGAAGACCAGGAAACTCAGGCACTGGCTGGAGACGGTCAGGGTGTCAGGGGAGGTAGCATGGCACGTGTGTGAAACCAGTGGGCTGGTTCAGGGGAGAAGCAGACACGGTGTCCGTGCAGGTGGCTGAGGGGACGCACATGGTCGCACATCTTCAGCAAGGGTTCCTTGTCAGCTTCTGTGTGGGGGACACTTGGAGAAGGAGGGACAGAATGATCGGCCATCATGCCACATTTTTGCTTCCACTGTGGGTGTCGGCATGCCCTGTTTGGACCTTGTTTGCCTTGCAAACAAGGAGATTTGCTAAGACATCTCAGCTTTTACCCTTGATTTTATAGCATCATCTCCCAGTGATTTATCTCAAGGTTTTGGGGGGGTTTCTGTCCTGGAGAAACAGGGTGGGATTCAGTAGGTTGGTCATTCACCCCACGTCTTTTTTCTGTGCCCGGACAACCTGTCCCCAGCAACTTCCATCATTTCCCTTGAAATAAGACAGCCCAGGACATCGTTCCTGTGGGCTTCTCCTAACGGGAGGCGTGTGGCTGCCTCATCCCCGCAGCGTATGGCTTCCCAGACCGGCCCTGCCCCCTCCCTGGCCCCACCTGGAGGCCCCGCCCACCGGCCAGGTGTCTGGTGGAGGGCCCCTTGGCCTAGGCAGGCAGTCTGACACTTGGGACACTCGGACACCTAGCTGACGTGCTGTTCTCGCCCACCCCCAGGCTGTGCTTGCTTGGTCTTGTGCCCTGTCCTCCGAAAGTCATCCTGAATTTTGCAGCAAGAGCAAAACTTCCCGCTGCTGTGGCTGAGGGCCCACTAATCTCCATTTCTTCACATTCTCTTCAGAACAGATTCTTTACTCTTGGGCAGCTCTTTTCCAACTTTCCCAGTAATAACAGCTCGGCAGCCCCAGATTCAAATAGCGGAGCTCCTGATTCCAGAATCGTAGCAAGTCTCCTTGATTGAAGGGTGCTGCCGTGTCATCGGCCTTCTGCAGGATTGCCAAGTCTGTGTGGTCGAGAGTGTTTCTCAGTTGGTGTGCCCTGGGGCCCAACAGGAAGGGACAAAAAGCAGTCAGGAAACCGAGGCACAAGAGAGCTTGGTTGGGGAAATGACCCAGGTGCCTCCCTGCCAGGTGTCTAGCAGTGATTGCTCTCTTCATCTGCCCAGGAGCTCAGGGGTGGGGTGAGGCCTGAGAAGCAAGGGGTAACCACCCGGGTGCCAGGCTGGACTTGCACCCACACTGAGTGATCCCGAGGAGTCTTCGTGTTTTCATTGTGAAATGTTGATGTCACAGGCCTGCCGCCTGCCTCCCAGGGTCGCTGGAAACAGATACAGTCGTATGCCAAGCCTTACCTTGTCAGAGAAGTTTTCTCTTTGAAATGGAAGAAATAACCAAAATCAAACGATCTAACAACCCCCCATGTTCCCATCACCTCTCTTCAACATTTATCCACTCATAGCTGATTCTGTCTAATTTATATCCCCCCGCACACCCCCCTCCGCCCGTTATTTTGAAGCGAAGCGAAGCATAGATAATTGTTTTGCACAGAGAGTTTTTGTATTTGTTTTGTTTTGGTGAATTAACAAAGGGACAGGATTGCAGCTTTGCTGGCCGACCTGGGCTCAGCGAGGTTCAGAGACACAGAAGGCACCCGTCGTTTCTTTGACCAGTGCTAAGAGCTAGAACAAACAAGGTTTTATTGAGCACTTTGCCCCATTCAGAATCATTTGCACACTGACATACTTTACAGCCAACACCTGTACACTCTAACAGGGATTTTATTTATTTATTTATTTTTAAAGATTTTATTTATTTGACAGAGAGAGAGAAGAGCAGCGGGAGAGGGAGAAGCAGGCTCTCCGCGGAGCAGGGAGCCCGATGCGGGGCTCGATCCCAGGACCCTGGGATCATGACCTGAGCCGAAGGCAGACGCTTAATGACTGAGCCACCCAGGCGCCCCTCTAGCAGGGATTTTAAAGCTCTCTCCCTCCAGTTCGGGGCTGAGATTTTTCCAAGAGACTGTTAGTACTCGCTTGGGGTGACAAACGGGGATGCAGTTGATGTCTGTGTACGGAGTGAGCGGGGAGCCGGGCTTCATGCAGTTCTCACGGGGTCGTCACGTAAACAGTGCTTCTAGACGACATAGCATTGTGAGGGCACTAGCACTTTCTACCTTTTTTTTTAAGATAGATTTATTTATTTATTTATTTATTTATTATTTATTTATTTATTTATTTATTATTTATTTGACAGAGATAGTGAGAAAGGGAACACCATCAGGGGGACAGGGAGAGGGAGAAGCAAGCTTCCCGCTGAGCAGGGAGCCCATTGCCGGGACTCGATCCCAGGACCCTGGGATCATGACTGAGCCACCCAGGTGCCCCACTTTTTACTTTTTTTAAAAAATGTATTTATCTATGTATGTATGTAGGCTCTATGCCCAAAGTGGGGCTCAAACTCACAACCCCGAAATCAGGAGTTGTGTGCTCCACCAACTGAGCCAGCCAGGTGCCCCTTTACTCTTTTTTCTTTTTTTAAATCATAGCCATTCTTTGGTTGTATTAATGAGACCTGTTTCAAGTGCAGAATGTCACTTTGACTTAAGAAAATGCAAATCAAGGAGCGCCTGGGCGGCTCAGTCTTTTAAGCGTCTGCCTTTGGCTCAGGTCATGATCTCAGGGTCCTGGGATCCAGCCCGGCATCTGCTCCCTGCTCAGCGTGGTGGGGTGGGGGTGGGGGTCTGCTTCTCCTTCTCCCTCTCCCTCTGCCCCTCCTCCCTGCTTGTGCTCTCTTTCTCCTTGTGTCTCTTAAATAAATAAATAACTAACTAAATAAATAATCTTTAAAAAAAGAAAATGCAAATCAAAATGGCAAGAAGATACCATTTTGCACCCATTAGGATGGCTATTATTAAAACATACAAGCACACCCCCCCCCCCAAATAACAGATGCTGACAAGGATGTGAAGAAATCGGAACCCCCGTGCACTGTTGGTGAGAATGTAAAATGGTGCAGCCACTCTGGAAAACAGTATGGAGGTTCCTCAAAATGTCAAAAAATAGAATTACCATATGATCCAGCAATTCCAGTCTGGGCATAGACCCAAAAGAACGAAAGAGCGAGATGTCTGCACACCTGTGTTCACAGCAGCTTTATTCACAGCGACCAAAAGATAGAAGTGGCCCAAGTGTCTACTGACAGATGAACAGATAAGCAAAATGTGCTCTGTACATGCAGTGGGATCTTTTTCAAGCTTAGGAAGGAAATTGTGCACATGCGCTACAACATGGGTGAGCTTTGAGGCTATCATGCCAAGTGAAATAAGCCCGTCACAGAAGGACAAATCCTGTACGGTCCCACTTAGAGGCACTACCCCAGAGTAGTCGGATTCACAGAGACAGACCGGACAAGGGGGGTTGCCAGGGGTGGGGGGAGGGACAAGGGGAGGTCAGTGTTGAGTGGGTACAGAGTGCCAGTTTTGGTGGCGGTGTTGCTTAACACCATGGCCGCCCTGAGTGCCACTGAGCTGGCCTCGCACACATGGTTCAGATGGCTGAATTCTGTATTGTGTCTACTTTCCCACGGTTCAGATTATAAAGCAATCTCTCTGACTTGCAGAGGAGGGGCAGCTGGGAGAGGTATACCCTGGAG